GGCTGGGGAATTCTGGGAGTCGAAATCCACAAGTCTTAAAGTTGGCTAGGTTGAGAAACAGTGGTGACCCTTCTGGTCCCTCCCAACTCTATCATTCATGTCTGGGAGTCAAAATCCACAAGTCTTAAAGTTGGCTAGGTTGAGAAACAGTGGTGACCCTTCTGGTCCCTCCCAACTCTATCATTCATGTCCGGCTGGGGAATTATGGGAGTCGAAGTCCACAAGTCTTAAAAGTTGCCCCGATCGGGCACCCCTGTTGTAGAACAAGAGCACCCTCAATCCTCTTTGCTTTCTCGCTCCGTCTGACTGTTTCCTGGGAGTCCCCAGGGCCTTGGGTGAGCTTTTAAGAATGCAAATGTGGCTTGTAAACGCTTCCAAGATCCGGTCTGGTCTGAATACTGGATTAGTTCATGTGCTTATGTTTCTTTCAGCTGGAGCGATCTTTGCATAGAGCTGTTGCTGCGCTTTTAAACAGGATTTTCAGGGGCGGCTGTTCTAAAAATACACCGAGTTCTGGAAATTCCTGCTTGACTTCCAAAGGCTTGGAACCCGGGACATTGGCACCGCCTGACTCGCTTCAGAATCAAAAAAGAAGGGGTGGGGGTGGGAAGCTTCTTGCAGTGGCCTGTTTGTCTACCCTGAGTAGCCTCGTCCAGCTGTGTGCCGAGATGTAGGGATGGAAATTTCCATCGGGGGGGGGGTTTGAGCTTTTCCAGCGAGAAAGAGAGGAAAGGCCGCCGTCTGGGTAATTATCAGCTGGTTTCTTAAAGAGAAACAATTAGGCAAAAGCGGGAAACGTTGCACAACCAGGGGTTGCTTGCGCACGAAAAGGACAGCTTAGAACATGTGGCGGGAAAGAGGCTCTTTACGGCCAAAGATGGGATTCCGGAGGCTTTGTAGAAGCCCCCAGCTGCGGAACATCAAGGTCCATCTTCTGAAGACCCCGCGGGATCAGCGGTAGAGCCCCCTTCTTCCGCCAGACACAAAGCTGGATAGAAGAGACCCCAACCCTTATGGTCCCTGGCTGGTACCTGAGAACGGGAGTGTCCAATCTTGGCAACTTTTAAGACTTGTGGACTTCCACTCCCAGAATTCCCCAAGTCGTAAAGTTGCCGAGGTTGGAGTGAATTTATTTATTGATTTCATTTATTAGTTTGTCAAACATGTACAAGATAACAAGTATAAATGCAAACATGGACATGAACAAAGGAAATGAATACAGATAAATGGGGGCAGTAGGACAGGGACGGTCGTGACCCGTCAAAAGCGCGAACGTCATAAGCGCGCCGACAACACCGCGGCACTAAAACCGCGATTTCAAAAGCGCGCCAACAACAGCGCGCCGACAGAAGCGCGATTTCATTTAAGGTAAGATTTACAGTTAGGTTTAGGGGTAGGTTGAGGGGTAGGTTGAGGGTTACGTTACAGCGTGCTTCTGTCGGCGAGCTTCTGTCGGCGCGCTTTAGGGCTAATTAGTCGCTAATTCATCGCGCGGTTTTGTCACCGCGCTTTAGACACCGCGGTTTAGTCAGGCGCGCTTTTGTTGTGCGCGCATTTGTGGTGGAACCACAATGTCATTTGCTCTTGCTTATATTAGCTGGAAGGATACCTGCCTCTGGATTTGATAACTCTTGGAAGTCGTTGACACATCCTTGATCACGGTTCC